TGTGCCGCTTTTTTCTTATTTTAATATTGTGTGTTTACTATTACTGCTATTGTTTAATTACTTAAGTTTGAGGTTCTAATAAGAGATCGAACGATTCTTACTGTTTGCTTTCGCTACACTCATGACGTTGTGTGTTGTTATTCACTTCAAAGGCACTTAGGAAGTACAGTTCTCTGACAGAGTAACTCAGCAAAGAGAATTTCACGTTTGAAAACCAAACAAAATTGGTAAATTTATAAAAGTCTATCATTATTTATTTTAAGATACTCTGTTTATTATCAAAATGCTTTAGACTCTTTAGATTTTTCTAAAATACATAGGTTTAAGACCTTCAAGATTTATTTTTCGACGGCCATAAGTAAGAGTATAACATTTTAATTGAAAATATGAAAAATCAATCGATAATGCCATATTTATTCATATATTTGTACAACAGCATCAAAAAATTGACATCTTTATGAAGAAAAGATTAAATATTGCTATTTTTCAATCTATTGTTAATTAATTAAAGGTGGAACACAGTATTGAGAGAGATTGAGAGAAAGGTCAATAAACATTAGCCAATCAATCAACCAATCGATCGATTCAATTGTCGCGAAAGTCATCGCGAAAATAGCTAAACACCAAAATTTAAATTATAACTTATATGTTCGATTAAAGAAATATATTGTATCTAAATATTGTGATTCAGTAGCATATTGTGCCTCACATTCTATTTTTGTAACTTCATTAAATCCTTTCATTTTATTCCAGCTTCACAACTCTTTTCATAAAACATTCTCGAAAATCAGTCTCATAATCTGAAAGTCGTGAGTTCGAACCTCACCTCGGGACCAAAAATTTTGTCGTGAAAAGGGTTTTGAATTGCGTTGACTGTTTAAGGTGGTTTGTCGACTGATTAGCTGAATTGTTGGTCTACTGAGGACTTCATGTAACAATTTATTTGATCAAATAGCGATCAGATAAGAATAAGACTAGAATTTAAGCCAATAATAGTAACAGCCAACATCTCGTTAGGAAATTTTGGGATATTTAAATCCCTAAACGGGGTGTGATTAATGGGCGTGTCATGAAACAAGCAGATTAGATATATAATTGTGGGAAAGAATGATTTTTTACAAGAGAAATGTTAAGGATGAGTCAGCGGATGTTAAGATTTTTTGATTAGCTTATATTTGAGTATGAGAAGATATATTTAAGTTGAACACTTAGATAAGGAATAGTTTTTATAATTAGAATTTTTCTAATCACATGAAGCGTTGTAATGCTTCATTACACACAGTGAATCATTAGGACCTTCGTTGCCATTGCTAAATCGTATGTTGATAGACCTTGTTTAATTGATGTTTTGCTTAACCACTTGATTTTTCCCTTTGCTACGACTGTTATGAATTTCAATATCCATGCTGTTGTCCTCCGTAGTGTTGACGAGCTGCTAAAACGATTCGCCTCAATTATTTGAAATTTTCTTTTCTGAAGTTATTGTATGCATTGTGGTGGTATAACTGCTTCTCCTTTCCTTTTCATATGCTTCCTCGCCTATTCTTTCTTCATAGTCATTACAGATGTTATGTTTCCATTGCGGCCATGCGGATTCATCATTCTTTAACCATTCTGGTCCGTTCCATCAGAGTTTAAATTGTGTAAGTTGATTTGGTGAGATACCTATTGTATTGTTGCGACGTCAGCTGAATTGAATAGGCTTGGAATATATCGATATGAAAATGTTGCCTTTCTTATTTCTTCAACTCGGTTTTGGATGAATGCGGGTAAGAGCGTGTTTGATTTTTTATCCAATGTAACGCACATCGAGAATCTGACCATAGTGTTACTTTTGTAGTTTCAAGTTCTAATTGCTTAATAACAAATTGAAGTGCTCGCACTCCAATCAAAATTGCTAATAATACCAATTTGGGTATAGTCATATCTTCCATAGGAGCTATTCGTGATTTCATAAAAATCAAGGATGTTTTCGTACCTTGTTTGGCGTAGATTGCAGCAGCGTACGCGATTGGAGAGACGTCCGTGAATACGCGTATTTTTAGTTGTTGTAAACAATCTGAATCAATTATTGTGCGTGGTATTTCCTTAACCTTTGTTGGCCATTGATTAGTAAGTTCATGCCATGTTGTTAAATCTTCGTTTTTTACCGGTTGATCCCGTGATAATTTCTTTTTCGAAAGATTTTGTAAGAATGATTTGAATATTAACACTGATGGAATTAGAAAGCCTAAAGGATCATGTTGTGAGGCAGTGAATTGTAAGATTGTCCTTTTAGTTGGAGTTTGATTATTCCATGGCCTTGATAAAATTTCAATGGAATCGTTTCTTGGATTCCAAGTAATACCAAGAATTTTCTTTGTTTGACTTACCTTTGATCGATCATTTCTAGGGATAAGTTGATTAAATTCACTGTCATTTGAAAGAAATTCCCATACGTTCCATCTGACTTGTTTGATAAATGTTGGAAGTATGATTACCAAATGAGAAAAGCTTCAATTCTTCTTTTATTATTTCTTTCAATTTTAGACGATTGGCTAACTTTTTGGAAACGAATGATGATTGTGATCCCGGATCAAATAAAATTAAGACTTCTTGAATTGTTGGGACTTTTGGATTTACTACTTCAATTTCCTTACACGTTAACAAAACCTTTTTACCTTTGTGATTGAATGATTGGTTTACTAAATTGGTGATAACCGCTGAATTTGTTTTTTCGGGACTGGGACCACTATTGACTAAGCCGTATTCGGTATGGCACAACGATGTATTATGTTGGCCCTTACCGTGGAAGCATGTTCATTTTCTTGGTCGACAGTCGTTTGTGGCTTGTCCCGGTCGAAAACAGTTGTGACAGACATTCTTCTTTCTTAGACATTCAACCCGCTGCTTGATTGTTGGATAATTTAAACATTGATCATCCCAATGATTTTTATTGCAAAATACACATGGTCTACTTTTATTAGCTCTCTCTAATTTAGTGACTAACTTCGTACTCTTTGTGTTAGGTAATTTAGACTGTTAAGTTATAAATAAAGCGAATGTTTCTCTTTGTATTATACGAGATTCGTTTTGGTTCAGATTCCTTATTGAAGGTTCGACTCCTATTAGCTTCATTATTTCTTTGGACTAATTCCATAAGGAATTGTCTAAGGTTGTTGACAGTCCAAGTTTTTTTCTATCTTGTTGATAAACCTTATCTAGGACCCATGATGGTAACCCGCTTTCAATAATTATTTTAAGACACGAATGTTCCAAATTCTCACCTATCGCTTCTAATTGTCGCAGGATTCTTTCCATTGCTTCTGTATTTGATTTTCAATCCTTATCATTTCGTTTGATAGCATAAAACTCGTTATACAATGATGTTTCCACA